TCCGGTGCAAAACTAAAAAATGATTAAACAACGCACTATAAAATAATATATCAAAAGGGACATCATAAGAAATTCTTAAAGAATTACACTAATTTAAAAAAAAAAATCACGGTGGGCAAGTGTCCCACCCAATTTCTCTATGCCTCTGCCCCTGGTCGGGGTGATTTCACAGATGGGGCTTCTCGTTTGCTTTGATCCTAGCTTTTTGTGTGCTCAAGGATGGCTCCAGATCTAGGGTTCGAGCTCGGTTAGTTCTCTTCTTCGAGTTTTGACTTTCCTTTCAGCCTCCTCCATTGGTCCTTCTTGGTCCCGTTCCAATGTCTCAGAGGTTTGGTTGGTGTTCTTTCCTCAGTGGTTGTGGTTTCTAGCTCGTTGTGATTTTGATTTTGTTTGCTTAGAGCCATGGTTCAGTTAGCCCTGAGGTGTGTTCTCATTTTTCGGTGTGACGGAAGTCTTGGTTCTGTCAAGACGATGTGTGCTGCTGATTGGGTTTTGCMATTTTGTCGCCAAGTTTTGTCAGTTCTGGTTACTAGTCTTATTTTATGGGTCTTTGTAGTTTTAAAGTGGTGTAGGTGAGTCTTTTGGATACATGTTGTGAGCTATGTCTTTTCCATGTGGTTTCTCCGTTAGTGTAGGTCTTGGAGTATCGACGCTTTTGAGCCGGAATAGGGTTTGTTTCTTTTGGTAACCTATCTCTTTGTTTTTTTTTTTTCAAATAATCTTCAAGCGGCGATGCACATCAACATCTTTCCCTCAATAATATTGGGTTGAGTATCTTTTGAAAAAATCTCGGAGTGATTTGTTTGCTTCTTTGGCTTCTCGGTTCTGTTTTGTACTTTGGGTCTTTGTGTCTTCCTCCTATGTTGATCGGTGGAGTCTGTGATGCTTTGAGGATAGTTCATGGGTTTAGCTCTACCTTCCGTAGGTCCTAGTTTTCTGAATTTGATAGAATTCTTTTTTTCWTGGTGGTGTTCTTGGCCTTAAAGATGGGCTTGAGTCTGCTTTTGCTCGTGTTCTTCTGCATCATTCTCATTGCCACTATTGGTGTGTTATGTTCGGCTCCCCAGTTTCTACATCTTCCTCGCTTCCTTTGTCGCTTGCTGCTTTAATTGTGTCTTCAATTGGGCTCGATATTTGGTTTGGTTGTCTTTTGTTGTCTTTGCCTTTAATTTGCATGTCTTCTTTTTTCACCTTATCTGCTTCTCTTTCCGGATCCACATCTCTGTTACTGTCTTCTAATTGGGATCATCTGGTAAAAAGGTGATTCTCTCCTTGTTTTCACTTGGACTAGTTCAAGGTCTCCCTTTTCAGTGGGTATTTTAGTGGTGTGGCTCTCGTGTAGTTCTTCTCTCGCCTTTTTTCTTGTATGCCGAAGTGTTTTCCTAGACATTAGATTTTGAGGTAAATTTGATTCGCAATATGAKATTTCCTTGGTTTGTATTTGTGGTGATGTTTTTCTTTAGAATTGCTTGTTTTGGTTTGAGCTCACTTTTACCTCTTTCTCCGAGGTGGTAGACCGTGAATCTTGTAATCCTTTTATCCGTTTTACCCAGATAAGAACTCCAAGACAAGTTCTTTGAAAGTGGAAGACTCTCATGTAAAAGCTAAT